TCAATGAATCAGTTCTGAACAAAGTCTTCGTAATGATTTTATTAAAATCAGCGGATCTTTCGAGATTTTTGATGCCCTTGCTGTTGTTGCTGTTATTGTTGCGGCTGTTGGGGATCGTTGAGATCTGAAAACTGAAAACAAGCACACTTCAAGGCACTTTAAGGCACTTTAAGGCACTTTAAGGCACTTGGTTTCACTAAAGTCAAGTTTAAGTCCTTTTAATTTTCTTCCAATCAGGGGAGACCTTTTCCTCTTTACACATTAGGGTAATAAACAACAGAAAACTCACAATTTTTGTAAATTTGTAGAAGAACAAAATGTTAATTTTTAATCATAAACATAATAAACACCCCATACAACGGGAACGTCCAGCATAATAATCTTAATATTTGAGTCTTTTTTCTGTCTTAGAAAATGGACATATATGTATCAACTTTTAATATGATGAAATAATAAAAGTTACAAGAAGAAAAAATTAGTTCAAAGGAGTCCCTTTTTAGGATATTGAAAAGCTAACTGAATGGTCCCGAGCTGGAAACTAATGAATGCTATGCATACAAAGAGCCTAAAGCACGAATTCAACTTTTTATTTAAATAATACACACTACCCCAAAATGTGTATGCTCTGAAGTAAAATTAGTATTTTGCCAATTTCTCCTGTCTAACCGAAGCTAGAAACAATCGTGTTGAAGAACTAAAATGTAACTATCAAGGTTTAAAAAAGTATAAGTAAGCCAGTAAGGTAAAACAATGAAGACCGAAGCATTGCAACACACGAAAATTGACCCGCCGGTCCTAATTCATAATTTTAAATATTATCTATGTTTTGTTTTTTAATACATAATTCAAATTAGAACGTTTTTATTTGATATCCAAGTTGTCAAGAGTTAAACTTAATCATACTTATTAGTTTTAAGCTTAGAAAGTTTTAAATTGCATATTTCTAGAAAGTTCTTTTTTGTTTGTTTTGACTAATCTTAGAGTTAGATAAGTTTTAACCTGATCTAAAAACAATGATAAAATAGAAATTTTGATGAAAACAAATTTAAATTGTTATGAAAGTTTTGATAATATTTTGAATAGAAAATGGTTATTTTAGGAATTGTGGGTAAGGGCGTGGTCAGGAATTTGCCAAGGGGGGGGGGGCTCAACATCCATTGGGGTCTGAAAACACCCTGAAATCAATAGGTTTTACTGGTCCTGGGGGTGGGGCTTAGCCCCCATAGCCCCCCTCCTGACTACGCTTCTGTGATTGTTTAAATTTCGATTATGAATGAACTTCAAATATATATAATGAATAAAAAACAACACTCTTGCCTGAAAGTCTAGTTGTCTAATCCCTAATTATAAACCTGATGGTATAAACCCCTGCGATATTTTAAACTATTCAATCAAAAAGAATTCAAAGGTGTCATGAATTAAGTTAGTTTATTATCAATTCTCCCTTTATCTACAAGTTAAGCCAAAGCTCTATTTGTTGAATAATGCTGTACGTTTTTAGGACGGGGAAACAACGAGGGGGGGGGGGACGCATTACATTTTCGAACAGCCATTGAAAAATGGATTTAAAAACATGTGGCACAGTTTAATATTTGTCAATTACGAAAAATTTTATTTTTCAAGGTTTTCCGACATTTTCTAGCAATTTTTTCAACCTACCTTAGACCCGTTTTTCCTCCTGGACTGGCCTTGAAAAATTGGGTTATAAACACGTTTTACAAATTATTACCTTACTATATGGCGTTTTTATAAATACCCCCGGTCTTTAAAGGTTAAACTTTGTAAATCTTTTTAGATAATTGTTGAAACTTTGATCAAAATATTTGCTTTTGTGAGATTTCAGGCTTTACTCTTATCCCCGGGGATCACTGAAGATACATTCTGTACACAATACTTTCATATCTTACACAATACTTTCATATCTTACACAATACTTTCAAATCTTACACAATACTTTCAAATCTTACACAATACTTTCAAATCTTACACAATACTTTCAAATCTTACACAATACTTTCAAATCTTACACAATACTTTCAAATCTTACACAATACTTTCAAATCTTACACAATACTTTCAAATCTTACACAATACTTTCAAATCTTACACAATACTTTCAAATCTTACACAATACTACTTTCAAATCTTACACAATACTACTTTCAAATCTTACACAATACTACTTTCAAATCTTACACAATACTACTTTCAAATCTTACACAATACCTTCAAATCTTACACAATACTACTTTCAAATCTTACACAATACTACTTTCAAATCTTTCACAATACTACTTTCAAATCTTACACAGTAATTTCAAATCTTAAACAATACTACTTTCAAATCTTACACAATACTACTTTCAATCTTACACAATACTGCTTTCAAATCTTACAAAATACTTTCAAATCTTACGCACTACTACTTTCCAATCTTACACAATACTACTTTCCAATCTTACACAATACTACTTTCAAGTCTTACACAAAACTACTTTCAAATCCTACACAATACTACTTTCCAATTTTACACAATACTACTTTCCAATCTTACACAATACTACTTTCAAATCTTACAATATACTACTTTCAAATCCTACACAATACTACTTTCAAATCTTACACAATACTACTTTCAAATCTACACAATACTACTTTCAAATCTCAAATCTTACACAATACTTCTTTCAAATCTTACAGAGTACTTCTTTCAAAATATCTTTCAAATCTAGCACTATATACTTTCAAAAACTTAGACAATACTGCTTACAAAATCTTACACAATAATACAGTCAAATCATACACAATATTATTATTATTATTGTTATTATTAATATTCTTATTATTATTATCATCATTCTTATTTTTATTATAATTGTTATTCAATATCAATATTGTTGCTTAAAAGATAAAAAAAAGTATTTGAGCTTCTTGAGCTGATCATGAACTCCTTGAGAACATGAAAATACTGGAAAGCTGATTATATTTGAAAATAAATCATTCTTATGAATCAGACTTTAGATCCATCAAACTTGTCACAAAAAGCACTCGAGCAAAGTAATAAAACTTCTGTAAGAATTTTCAGTGCATTAACCAAAGTTAACATTTTTATTTTTTGAAATTTTTAAAAACTATTATTTCCTTGAAATCAGGACGGAGGCTCCCTTAGTTAGTTATTATGCAAAATAGACAACTTATTAGAAATATTATTTTCTATATTTTAAATTTGTTTAAAATAACATTCCATCGCAAAAGGCTAGTCTGTTTTAGGCTACGTAACTTTGATTTATAAAAAAAATTGACCCTAAAAACAAATGATTTAAATTTATGCTTTTAACTAAATTTTCTTAAATTTATATAGACCAACGCGAGGTTATTGTAGGTGTAGACTTTTAAATGTTGTGCTTTAGATTTATTATTAATAAAAAGGGTTTAAATGCAATACAATTCAAGGGGGAAAAAATGTTCAAGGGATTTCTAAGAAAAAAGACGATAACTTTTCCGTTTTAGTGACGAATTCGATATCGTCTTTTCAAATAATTCTTTGATTTAGTATAGTGATACCTACTGAGAAAGCTGTAATCTGCAAGAGATCCGTCTGCTATGTTCACAATTTGTTTTTTATGTTTTGACTACATACGGATGTACTTAGTAAAACAAGAAAATTACAGTAAATAAACAGAGTAAACTTGTCCGTCTTCACTGTTCATCTTGCGGAAACATTATAGACACATCTTTACAGTCTTTTACCCTTTTCATAAAATAAACTCTAGCAGACATAATAATATTATGGCTTTCGAAGTTAGGTACTACAATGCTAATTCATAGCAAAGACGATATCCATGATTCGTCACTGAATTCCCATGTTTTTTGGGACACTCTGTATAATATATATATTTTTAGATGACCCAAAGAAGGTATGTTATACAGCCATTACAATTTTTTGTCATTTTTTTAATTCTTAAATTGACAAAATGAGATTAAAATCTGTAAAATCTTAAATTGAAATTCTTTTCTAAGATGCTTATTTAAAAGCTTAAAATACTACAAGATTGACGCTCCCCACCCTGTCAGGACGATGCGTCAGGTTTCTTAATTCAATTCAAATTCAATCACATCTTGGTCTCAAGTCAACAATTTTCAAACTACTGGAGAATTATTGTTTTCCACTTTCTCACTTAAAAGGCACCGTACATATACCGACCAAAAAATATAAGAGAAAGTTAATAAATTAAATTGTAATAGAAACAATTACCGAACTGTTAAATTACCATGTCCTTGAACTGGGAGCTATAAAGTGTATTCAAGTTGAACCAAAATAAATATCACTGAGGATTGAAATCTTATGTGTTATTAAACATAACTTCTCTTATTGAAGAAGTATTGAGCTGAAGAAAAATGTTTATATTTCTTCAATGTGCGTAAAATAAAACAATAAGAGCTACGGTAATATGGCATCAAATTTTCCTTGTCAAGGTTTGCAGTGAATTGAATACATGTGTGTATATATATTAGAAACTTGGTGATTTATAGATTTGTAAAAGCAATATATATTGGTGAGACATCCACACTATACATAGTAATAAAACAAAACAAACACAATAATCATTTAGATAAACAAATATATATATATATCCGAACCAAATAAACAAGAAGTTTGATAAATGAAAATAATTATTACTATTTATTGTCTTAAAGGGACTGTCAACGTAATTTCTCGTGACCCTTCATATTTCACAATTGTATTATTGTTAATGAGATATCCTTGTTTTTCAATGTAAAAATTAGATTATTTTCAATTGTCGGATGGAAGTTTGCGGATTAATGAAATAAACATCTGTTTAGATTTGAACATATTTCAAGATAAAAAACTGATGATAACTTCCTCATTGTTACTCAGATAAAGGTCTGGAGGGTACTGGTTGTGAATCGTGGATGTAACCCTTCAAATTATCTATTATTATCCTATCTAGAGGCAAGTACGTAAAAATGTGACTAACCTATTGTGGAAAATATCTTCGGAGTTTCCCTCAGGCCATACTTTAGCCAGAACAATACAAGTGTTAAAGAGAACCAGGAGAACCAGGAACAATCCTGTTCCACGAGTAAACAAACTTAACATGATTGCTCTTCGTTCTTCAACAAAATAGAGCATTAATATTCTCCTCTTCACTTAGTTGCACAGCATTCAGCGCCCCCAGAGCAAAATTGTTCTGCTCTACATATATCTCCGGAGTAAAAACGTCCTGCTCCACCCCCTTGTCTGAACTGACCTCTGTTTAATTAGTGTTAGAGAATTTAAAGGCTTCCTTGTGAACCCAACTAGAAACGAATGACGTTTCTTTTCTCTAGTTTCCTTGTCATGCCTAATAGGAAATCAGTCTTCCACTCACCATACTAATCCATTCAACTTTCAACCCCCCTACATCCTGCTCCTCCTTTTCCTCCCCTCCTCCTCCTTTTTCTACTTCTCCTCCTTCACCTCCTTCTCTTCCTTCTCCTCCTTCTCCTCCTTTTCCTTACTCATTCTCCTCCATATCCTCCTTCTCCACCTTTATGGTTTTAAGAAATTCTTTAAAAACATTATAAAAAAGTTTCATCCTTTCCTTTTTTTCTCTCTTTCCACTTTTTATTTCCCCACTTTTAAGAACATCTTAATTCTCAAATCCTTTTTTATTTTTAAAGATATGATTTTGATCTTTAATGCTGAGTTTACATTTTGTTTTATCTTTGATTTTCAATTTATTTCATCCATAGTTTTCCTCCTAATATCATTATTCGGCTGATATATATTATGTTCAATATTCCAAAGATCTTGTTCAAAACAAATACTTTTCAAACATGATGAATTTCTAAATTTTACTTAATTAAGAATAAAAAGAAGAAAATTGAAAACTTTTACCCTTTTGTTTCAGAAAACTAGCTTAAACTGATTTTGTTCTTCGGTTTTCCGTTTTCTGGTTTATGTTTTGTCAAATCTCTGTTTTCTTAGATATCTATTTTCTAAAATCTCTGTTTTATAAGATCTCTTCTTTCTCATATCCTTGATTTCAATTAAATCTCTATTTTCTTAAATCTCCGTTTTTTCAAAGTTCTGTTTTCTCGTATCTTTGTATTCTGAGATCTATGTTTCCTGAGACCTCTGTTTTTGAGATATCTATTTTCTGATATCTCTATTTTCTTTAAATCTCTGTTTTCTGAGATCTCTGTTTTCTCTCCATCCCATAAAATTAATTAAAAGATGGTTCTCCTCTACAATAACATTTGCTCGAGTTCTAAATCGGGAAGATAAAAACATTCTTACAAGGACAGATCTGGAGAAAGGATCTGATTACTTGCCTCAATCTCTAAGTTTTTACTTCTTAATTTACTCTACACTTTCGATATTTCTTCATAATGCATTTTCTAAATTAAATATGAAAAGTCTTACACTAATACCAGCCAGGGGGCGGTTTACGATATTTTCTTGTGAGTGGACACGAGCAACATGTTGATGTCAGGACCATGACAAGCTGGGAGTGGATATGAGCAACATGTTTATGTCAGGACCATGACAAGCNTGGGGGATTTGGGGAGGGGGGAGGGGAAAAGTTGAAGTAATGTGAGAGAGTATGACAAACAAAGATGCATTTAGTTTTAAAGAAATAAAAAGGTTCACTACAGTTTGTATGTGTTTAATCTTATTAAAAAAGAAACAGTTTGCTTAAAATCTTATTTTCTAAATCTTTGCACTTTGATTTCAGCTCAGGTTGGTCTTAGTTTCTTAGTTTGAAATATCTTAAAACAAAGACATCAGATTGCCAAGATATGGGAAATATAAATTAGAACTTGAGTCGAGAAATCGGTATAACTTTGTACCTTGTCTAATCGAAAATACAATCGGTTTTTTCAAAAGTTTACGACTTAAATGTTTATTTTGAGACGATAATTTTAATTGGCAAATGTATTTTTTTTACCGCGTTACATGTTGCAAGATTTTATTACATTTTTTTCAGGGTTCTAAATTTAATTTTCGTCTATTTATGTTTGAAAAGAATTTTCTATTTACGGATAAATTTTTACATTTTATCTGATAAAATATTTTTCACTACACCATGTGAACTAGACAGAAGGAGAAGGTTAAATAAAGGAATTAAATGTTTGCCACAAACTTAGATTTTCGAAATTCTATATTTTTAAATCCAATGTCGTAGACCTTAGTAGATATTAATTCATACTATGAATTCTGTCAGATCAAATAGTGTAAGTTGGAAATATCAAAGGTTAACACCATCAGTTTTCAAAGATATCTGGATTAGAAAATTTGAATTTGTAGCAAAGAATCCTTTTTGCGATATTACTGACACGACTTTTTGACCTCGTGTTTGCACGTCTTTATTCTTCTCAATATCTCTTCAATATAGAAGGAGTTGTGATTGAAATAAAATAAAATATTAATCTTACATGCTGTATTCTTTGACCGGTAACTATTGGAAATGATGATTCCTAAAATTTTAAAGAATGGAAACAATTAAATCTAACAAAGAGGAACTTTCAAAATATGTTTTGTAAAAAGTTAATTTATAAATATTCCACTGCAGGTATGATTGCTCGAAACAGGACTGCAAGAAACACATTTTAAAATCCACAGTGTTTTTTATGTGTACAATAAAAATGGGAACGTACACATAAGAACAAAATGGAAAAGGATGTGGTAACCGTAAAATTCAAGTTTGGATTGTGGTTTCCGCATATCATCAAATATTATTTTTAGCATATGTAGCACTTTAGGATTCATTTGATACCAATGAGACATGTTATGAATGTTATGTTATGAATGTTATGTTATGAATGTTATGTTATGAATGTTATGAATGTTATGAACATAAAATATTACAAATACTATTATACAAACAGGTTGCATGCAAGGGTGTAATGCAAGGGTGTAATGCAAGGGTGTAATGCAAGGNCAAATTAAGATAGTTATATTATTCCTTTTTGTTCGGCTCACAAATAGATGCATCAGTGTTCGTTTAGTATCCGAGGAGGTTAAAAGCATTAAATTTTGATAATTTTGATAATTCACATAATAGTTTCCTATGACCAGAATATTTCATTGATTTTTTTATGTGAAAGATGGATTCCATGTCAGGCTCCGACATCCGTCTTGTGTTTACATTAGCGCCAAGAGACAGTACACTGCAGTACAAAAGATGTGTACACTTCTGAAATATCTTTCCTTGCCTTACATCCTTGGTTGCATGTATACACATGTACTGAAGTCTGAATATTGGAGTAAATCCCATATTTGTAAACCTAAACATCCCTATATACCTTAATTCCGTTAATGTATTTATTTAGTTTAATTACGTAACATGTACCATAAAACCAAAAAAAATACATTAGTTGAACAAGATTTTTAAGGAACCTTGAGTTCGAGATTGAGTTGTATCTTTACGATACATATTGAGAAAAACTTATAGCGACGTAGTATTATTGAGGAACCTTGAGTTCGAGATTGAGCTGTATCTGTACGATACATATTGAGAAAAACTTATAGCGACGTAGTATTATTGAGGAACCTTGAGTTCGAGATTGAGCTGTATCTGTTCGATACATATTGAGGGATAGAAATAAGCATAATTGATACAGACTGAGTATTATAGATGAGAGATAGCACGAGTTGTATCTGTACGATACAGACTTAATCATTTTTATAAAGCTCGCCGTTTCATTAACGATCGGTAACGACGTCCCTTCGTTAACGACGACCCTTCGCTAACGATCGTTAACGAAGAGAGGAGGAGAGAGGAAACCGCCCTGAAGAGCATCGGTACTTATCATTGAGCAGTTTTAAAGAAAATATTCAGCACCCTAACAACTTTTTACCTTCATAAAAGACGACATTCGATAAAGTTGCATGTAATTTTTTTCAAAAACGACATTTTTATAAAGTTAGTCAATTCGTTTACAATCGTAACGACAACCCTTCGTTAACAATCATTAACGACGACCCTTCGTTAACGATCTTTAACATATTTATCGATGAAAAAAATTCAAAAACGATGGTTTCTTCAAAAATGATTGTTTTTAAAGAGACAATCGTACAAAAAACGATCGCTGATTGTTTTTTTTAAACTATATTTTTTTCAGAAAACGAAACGATCGTTTTTTAAAACGATCGGAAAACGAAAAAAAACGATTGTTTAACGATCGTTTAAAAAAAACGATTAACAACACTTCAAGCTGTATCTGTACGATACGTATTGAGAGAACTTGTTGGAGTAAGACATTTGCTGCACACACAGGTTGAGAAAAATAATGAACATATATTATTGAAAATAAGTTGATTCATTTCAAAATCTCACAGGTTTATGCACATTCTTTCAGCTCGGGTCGCTTGTGTTTTCTTTATTTTGATTTTGAAGACGACAATTTTGAATAAATTTCTTCTGATAAAATTAAAGAATCAATTTTACGGCTCTACTATGGCTTTTCTTTTAAGAAATATGTTCCTAAACAGCAAATTAGTCTAAAAAATATATTTTTTAAATATTTTTTGTCCGGATTTTTAATTAATTGTAAGAAACGTTTTTATCCGTTTTTTTTAAAGATATTCTAGAAATGTTTCTTCTGCTGGCTGAAACAACTGGTGAAATACTATAACATACAACTTTACACTCCTTTTAAAGATTGTACACTTTAAAAATTTCACATTGGTAACAAATGAGTTTTTCTCTACAATACTGCACTTTCAGCTTAACTACCATGTCTAGTCGGTCTCTCCCTTTAAGCAAAATTTTTAATTTTCCAAGGGACATAAAGTAACTTAACGTCTCTCCGTTGTGGGAATCATAGGTCGGTAATGTTGGTCAAAGGGTGGTAAAAAATATTAAATTGGCAAATTGGGTTCAAGTTGATAATATGTATTTAACCCGGCCAACTAAAGAATGATATCAAGGAAGCATAAACTGTAGGTTTTTATATGTGACCTGTAGGTTTTTATATGTGACCTGTAGGTTTTTATATGTGACCTGTAGGTTTTTATATGTGACCTGTAGGTTTTTATATATGACCTGTAGGTTTTTATATATGACCTGTAGGTTTTTATATGTGACCTGTAGGTTTTTATATGTGACCTGTAGGTTTTTATAAATGTGACCTGTAGGTTTTTATATGTAACCTGTAGGTTTTTATGAAGCTGTGAACACTGTACCTAGGTTACTTTGGTTTCCTGAACAAAATATAAGCTTGCTGTCCCTTGAGTCTGATTCTGTTAGAATAATCTTATTTGTATATAAACAGTATTA